CTTTAAGAAGTTGAGTCTGGGAATCTATCACTAAGAAAGCTTGAGAAATACTGTTCTAGTATATTTTAGTTTGTGGAGTTAGCAGAGCCCTGAAGAAATAAAGCCCAGACTGGTGAGTCTTTAAATATCCTTGGAATTATAAATGACACCTTTAGAAAGGGTCTTGGGGAGCCAGTGAGTGCATTATGAAGAAAGGTAGTGTGGCCATAAAAGGAAGGTAGTAGCAAAGAAAGGACCCTGGTGGGGAACTCGAAACAAGCTTCACCTGATGTACAGTGTGTCTGATGGAAAACAGAGGAAAGAAGGAAGGGTGCTGACAACCCCAGAGATCTTATAAAGGCTAAGAGCTCACAGGAGGCATGGAGAGAAAGAGAGAGAAAGAAAATGCAAAAAGAGATCTCACAGACACCCCGGCCACACTCGGGACAATTAAGTCAGAATCTCTTGTCAGACACAGTGGTGAGCACCTGTAATCCCAGACACTTGAGAAGCTGAGGCAGGAGGATCACTTGAATCCAGTAGTTCCAGATCAGCCTAAGCAACCAAGTGAAGCCAAGTGAAGAGCTTGTCTAAAAACAACAAAAATAACAAAGGCAGAATCTCCAGGGGAGGACTCAGTCACTGGTGTTTTTAAAAGCTCTTATGATTGCAACCTGCAGCCCGGTTGATAATCTTTGTTCACCAATTACACATCAGGTGACACTGGTCATTGATGCTGTGGTTCTAAATGACTCCTCTGTTCCTTGCTAAAGAGGATGTGAGGATTTAGGATGAGTTTCTTCTTCTTTTTAATTAGAGCAAAACTCATGAAGAGGAAATGACCTGTGGTTTTCGACTTTCAATTGTGTCACATCACCAAATGTGCCCTTTCTGTGAGTAAAAAGAAAAAGAACAAGGTCAACTTTCTACTTAGTGTGTGCTGTTCAGTTGTTGCAGTCAAATGAGCAGAACTCAGAAATATAATTGTAAAATGGCAGGCTTGAGGTCTTTATCTTTTTCTTTGTAGTTTACTGCAAATAGTATGACCTAATAATACTACAAGTGGTGCAGTAAAAATAGCAATGAATTTGGCATCAGAAGATGGTAGGACCAGTGCCAATCTTGCCCAGGGATTAAAATACACTGTAGTTTAATCAGTGTATTAAAATACACTGACATAAATGTAGTTTATATAAGTGTAAAAGTGTACATACACTTTAAGTGTATAAGTGTAGTTTATATAAGTGTGTAAACTACACCTACATCAGCCTCAGTTCCCTTTTCTGAAAAATAAGATGCATCTCTTTGGATCTAAATGTCACTGATTGCAAAATGCACCATAGATTTACATATCACAAAGAAAAAGTAGTTTTATTTCAGTTAATGTAAACAGTTGAAGTTATTATGTTTATTGATGAGTTCAAATGTTCCAGAATATAAAAATAAAACTTGTCTCAAAAATCCTTTAAATAAATTTCTTAAAGCCAATTTGTTAATAATTCCTATTAAGACTCATGGCAGAAGGGGCTCAGTGGCTCATGCCTGTAATCCTAGCACTTAGGAGGCCAAATGGGTAGATATGAGGGCAGGAGTTCGAGACCAGCCTGGCCAACATGGCAAAACCCCATCTCTACTAAAAATAGAAAAATTAGCCAGGGTGTAGTGGCGTGCACTTGTAGTCCCAGCTCCTTCTGGAAGCTGAGGCAGGAGAAGAACTTGAACCCAGAAGGCGGAGGTTTACCTGAGCCAAGATGGTGCCACTGCACTCCAGCCTAGGTGACAGAGAGGCTCCATCTCAAAAAAAAAAAAAAAAAGACTCATCCTTCTCAAATGAGTCAAATCATACAAAATATTAATTAAATAGCCACCTACCTCATAACTTTCCTACAAACATGTTATAAAGAACACGATTTCTCCTTAAAAAAAACATGATTGGAAATTCATATATACTTAACCACGGGTCCTAATACAAGAGTTGTTTTTGTCAAAATGCAAATATAGGATCTTAAATATTTTTTAGTTTAGCAGAAGCCAATAGTGTTTTAATGTTTCAAGTGTGCAGTGTGAAGACATGCTAAACACAAAAATATTTAAGATCGCATATTTGCATTTTGGCTAAAACAACTTTAATCTAGCCTAAAAAGAAAGTAATTTGTTAGAACAAGTAACCAAACAGCTATGGAAAGCACCTGGTCATGTTATCAAATGATTCAGAGACTCAAATGACATCAACGCTCTTTCCTAACTTCTTTCCCTGATCTTATTCTCTGTCTTCCATGTGATACAGAAATTGGCCACCATAGGCCCTGGCATTACATCCTTATAACTCACAAGTAAACTTATAACTCACAAACTCACAACGTTTGTTTATAAACATTGGTTAAGGTACAAAGTTACAATTAAAGAAGAGGGGGAAAAATTTTTGATGCTCTATTTCACAGTAGGGTAAGGATGGTTAACGGTGAAACTTTGTATACCACAGAATAACTAGAAGAGAGGCTATTCAATGTTCTCATCACAGAGAACGGATACATGCATGAGGTGGTGATACACTACCGATTGGATCGTTATACAACATAAATAGGTATGGAAACATCAAATTGCACCCCATAAGTATGTACAATTATAATGTGTCCATTCAAAACAAAACAAAAAAACAAACCACCAGAACTTCTACCTGGATATATCGTTCATGGATATATTCTAAAACCATTGAAGGAAAGATTTCTGGGAGACTTTACAGTGTGAGGGGTCAGACTGCTGACCCCACCTGCATCCACGGGTCAGGGGTAGGCATCACTCACACCGGGACAGCCAGCGGACACACGACTCGTGCTGAGGTGCAGTCAACACACACCCTACCACTTTGTTTGAAGCCGTACTGGCTTCAAAACAAAACACAACACAACTGAACCAGAATCTAATGAGGCCATTACGCCTAACTATAAAATTTCAAGAAACATAGAGGCTAGAGAAACAGGTTAAACGACACCATCAGTAAGTAATGAGCCAAATCCAAGATTTATGACATTCCACAGGGCAAATATCCCTCAATATATCAAAAACACGAAGAAAAACGAGGCGCGGGCAATTAGAGGACAACCGAGACCTGGGGTCCTAGCAACCGAATACAACGTGGGACCTTGTTTGGATCTCCATGACAATTCGACTATAATAAGGAATTTCTAAAATAAGGAAACTTGAAAGTAGACGGACTATTAGGTGTCATGAAGGAATTACCTTCTTTTTTAGGTGTGATAATGGTCGGTTAATTACTTTTTTATAAAAAATTACTCATTAGAAGAAGTTCATGGTGAAACGACCTGTTCTAAAGGTGTCGCGCCGACGCCAGGCCGGCCCTCTCGGTGCCGCGGCAGACTCTCTATCAGGGCGTCTTCAGCTCGCCTGGGCGCTGGACCCCGCCGGTGCTCTCTGAGACCGCCGCAGCGCGGGTAGCCCCCGGCATGCTCCGCGGGCTGAGCTCGTCGGCCCGAGAACTCAAAGCACCTGGCCTGGGTCCCGCGCGTGCCCCTTACCCAAGCTGGCCCGGGCGCTCATTTGCATGTCCCACCCAACAAGTAAACCTCACAGGTCAGTTTTGGCGATGTATGCCTAGCAGTCAGAGCACCAAACGTGCAAGCCTTTAGATGAGGTTCCGTTGCACGAAATTTTCCTAAAGGCTCCAAGGTGTATAGGAAAGCGCGTGATTTGGTCACCATAAGTAAAAAAAAGCGAGTCTCCCGGTATCTTATAAGGCCTGTGGACGGTGGTGTTAGCGTGCTCGCTTCGACAGCACATATACTAAAATTGTTGAACGATACAGAGAAGATTAGCATGGCCCCTGCGCAAGGATGACACGCAAGTTTGTGAAGCGTTCCATATTTTGCGCAGTTCACGAAGGTCGCTGGACTAAACACGGCGGGTTTTGGAGCGGTTGCTCGACATCTCTTTTGTGCCTGCACTTTCCTGCCCGCGGCCTCGGCCGCGTGAACACCTATGATGCTTTCTTGGCCCACACCAGTCCTGTTGCCAAGTGGGCGGCCTTCCTCGACAGCCTCCACCTTCAAGGCGCCCAGCCATTCACGTTACTATTAAGTTACCTATGTGATCCTCGTATCTGTGTCCAAATACTTGTTTTATTGATTAAAATCTGCTTTCAGTCTGGGTAATGAACATTCCTCATAGTCAAATTTTTCGTCACAGAATCAGTCCGATTTATGTAAACTGGTCTTTCTAAGTATTTCTTAGAGGCTACATGAAAACAGAAGACTCGTGAAAACACATCCAAACGGGCTTGCTACTTCTGGCCAGTACTCAAACGGGTCCTGGAACTCTTGAATCTATATGCAAAGAGCAATAGTGATCTCCAATAATAATACCAGCCCTTAGTAACATTCCTTTCCTCTGTGCAGCTCGCAGTCTAAGAAAAAAGAGGGTGTAAGCAACTCCGGTCTAAGATGATGAAGAATGGCACAAAGTAGGCTCCAGAAATGAGCGGTAATGTTTCCTTCCTCTAGTAGAGATTTATTAATTTAGAAAAGATTTAGTGAGGATTCGTTGAACAATTCTTGTGGCAGGTGGTCTTCTATTGAACAAAAGCCAAACAAACTGGGGCTTTGGAGTTTGTGTTGTTGGGGGAGACAAGACCGTGTCTATTTCAGCAATAGTGCTGAAAAGTTCTCTTAAGAAGGCACAAGGTGATCGACCTTTTTCCATTTCCAAAATGCGTATTAACGATATATTTGCACACAACATTTCAAGTGTGACTGTGCACCGTTCGCACTTCATAGATCTCCATAGACAAATATTTTTATAATGAAAATCACAGTTTCGTTATTGGGTGTCACCAGTTTTTGCTTAACCTATTTCTTTAGTGCCAGATTAGCAGATACTGAAATGATCTTCGCAGACGGCACAAAATATGGAACGCTTCACGAATTTGCGTGTCATCCTTGCGCAGGGGCCATGCTAATCTTCTCTGTATCGTTCCAATTTTAGTATATGTGCTGCCGAAGCGAGCACGTTAGCGTTTCCGTCCACATGCCTTATAAGGCACCGGGAAGCTCTCGCCTTTTATAGTTAGGGTGACCGAATCGTGCGCTTTCCTATATAACTTGGAGACTTTAGGGAAATTTCATGCAACGGAACCTCATCACAATGCTTGCACGTTTGGTGCTCTGACCGCCAGGCCATACGCGGCAGCGACTGACCTGTGAGGTTTACTTGTTGGGTGGGACATGTAAATGAGCGCCCGGAGCACCTTGGGTAAGGCTCCCCGCGCGGGACCCAGGCCCTGGGCTTTGAGTTTTGGGGCTGCGGAACTCAGTCCGCAGAGCATGCCGGGAGCCTGCAGTCCTTGCGGCCACAGAGTAGCGCGGAGGACCGAGCCGGCCTGGAGCACTTGGCGTCTCTCCAAAGTCGTTCTGGGAGTTGGGGAGGTGGTTGGCCCGCTAGGTCCCTAGGGCCTTGGGTCGAGAAGGGGTCCTCCCCAATACAAGGAAGGTTTCACCGATATTTCGCTGGTGACATTGGGGCCTTCTGCCAACAGACTTTTCTGAAGTGAGCCCAGAGTTCAACCCTTCGAGAGAGACCTTCCAACGATTCCACGACTCAGTTCTGGAGCGGTAGGCACCACATTCTAGGTTGCGGTGGACTCCGGGGGCATCTCCGCGACTCTCTCCACCCCGTCGGGTTGGGGGCTGAGCACCTTGCACGAGACGGCCACACCCCTCTCTCCCCCGACCTGCAGATGGTACACCAGCGCCTCCGTCCTTTCTACGCATGCGCCTCTAAGGTCAGGTGCTCTTCAGCCACGCCCCTTCACAGGTTTCTTCCTTTCAATGCTGAAGTAGCCACGCCCCTTCACAGGTGTCTTCCCCTGACCGCTACTTTCGCCGCCCCGGAACGCTGAAAAACCGGCTGACAGGTGGATTTGAGGAATTACAATAGTTCACTTAGAGTCGAACTGGAGAAGCATTCTTGAACGACCTTATACCTCCTTGCACTCTAATCCTAACCCCATTAGGATACAAACGTACGGGACAGACCTACTCGCAAGAAATACTCTGTTAGTGTTAAATATTCTGATTTTTAACTACAGCAAAAATCATATTGTTTATATCCCTGAGCGTTGTGAGATGAGGGCCCAAAGATCAAAGCCTCTGGTATTTATTGGTTACAGCATTGTATATATTAAAGTTAGTGAAGGACAAATGTTTGCCTGTGTTGTGTTAAAATGGCACCTTGAATGAGGAATATGGCACATTTACGAATAGGTGGAGTTTTGCTGCTTTTTCTCCTTCATATGGTCCTTTTTACCCCTTCCTGTAACAATACTTTGAAGTAAAACCTGATTTTAAAAAATCAGTAATTTTGAGAAAAACTTTTAATTGGTATCCAATTTTCTAATGTACCAAAATAGTGTAAAATCATATGAGTTTCTGGTATTGCTGAGCCAAAAATAGAAAAAGGAACAGAAAGGAAAGACAGGAATTACTGCTAAACCTATCTTATTCTGTGTTTGTGGTTATAATTCTTTTCTTTAACAGCTTTTGAAAAATAATAAAACACTGTTCTTTCCTCACTCAAAATAATTAGACAAAAATGATATTCCTGTTAAGTTACTCGATTACAAGCAAAATGTGGTTTGATATCTTTCTTCTAATGCCCTGTCTTTCCAATAAGCTATTTCTGCTTTGTGATTTCAAAGCTATTAGGAAGCAGTAAATTGATGTTCAATTTTATTATTTTGAAGAAGTATGTCAGAATTACTTCATGTCTCTCTTAACAACTAATTAAAGAATACATGGTTAGAAGAATCTATAGTTAGAAGAATGTTCAGAGTTACAGGGTCATGAACTTAACGTCCCTACAACCTATATGCGCCTTCAGAGTTAGGCTGCACTCCCAGATGACCACTTATAACCACTTTCCATTCTAAAACGAGGGAAAAGACTTAGCACATAGAAGAAAAAAAAATGGTTGAAGATTGGCAGGAGGTAAATCCATTGGGGGAAAAAATCTTTATAAATGGTTGTAGGCCTGGTGAGGTCCCAGTGTTTTGGGAGGTCAAGATGGGAGGAGGACCCCTTGAGGCCAAGTGTTCAAGACCATCTGGGCAACTTAGTGAAACCCCAGCCTCCTTATCTCTCTGTCTCTGTCTCTCTCTGTCTCTCTCTCGCTCTCTCTCCCTCTCTCTCTCCATACACACACACACACGCACACACACACACACACTCACACATATACATACTGAGCCCAGTGGCATGCTCCTGTAGTCCTAGATATTTGGGAGGCTGAGGTAGGAGGACAGCTTGAGCCCAGGAGTTCAACACTGCAGTGAGCTATGATCAAGCTATGACACTCCAGCCTGGGTAACAGAGTGAGAACTCTGTCTCTAAAAAGAAAAAATGAAGTAAGTGGTTTCAAATGCTCAGATGTGTACAGAAATAATAAGAAAACTTAATTTTAGAGTCACGGTATTACTGAACAATGCAATGTTGAAAGAGCTGGAACGGAATTTCTCACAGATGATTTATATATGTCGCTTTTAAAGCACAAATTCTCCAAGATCTCCAGTGTTTCTTAAATTCCTTCTATTGTTCTTTAAATAAATATAAACACAAAACAGCATAAACTCCTCTTTCTTACACCTGTTATACAGCTCTAAAACAAAAGCAGATTTACAAATTTGACACATAAGTACAAATCAGTAAAATTCAAATTAACAGCATTATTAATTTATTGCAGTAGATAATGCATTTGGCTGAAACTACATCAACATGTTCGCAGTATATTTTTTTATTTTTATTTTTTTGGAGACAGAGTCTTGTTCTGTCACCCAGGCTCACTGCAACCTCCACCTCCTTCATCATTATCATGCATAGTATAGAGAGTAAAGGTTTCAGACTCTAGAAGTCTTATTAGCACCTAGCACATTAGAATTGTTTGAGACATACAGGTATCCCACACTATTTCACTATCTTATGCATCTATTACCACTCAACAGTATTGTTGCTTTTGATCTTTTAATGTTTATATTGGTTCACATGGAAGTAGAAACAGAGATCCCAGACATTAGAATTTTAGCTATGTTTGACTTCATCGAAAAGCTAAAATTGTAGTAATCTTGACTAAGATCTCAAATCTCATAATAAAACCAGCTTTCTCAAAGCCAAGCAAATTGGTACAAGGCAAAACATTGGTGAGATTATTTCCTATTTTAATTTCTACTATGGTTTATACCAAATGGTGCTATTTTTCGTTAAACTCTGTTAGCATTTCATGGAAGAAGACAGGTGACAAGCCTCATTAGTCATTGCCTGCTTAGAAACAGAGACATTGCCAGAAGGCAACACCGTCAGCCTAGTGGCTTACTAGTAGAACTGAAGTTAAGCCAGAGTGCCGAGTTGTTCTTTCTGGGCTAATCTTCTATCATCCCTTCTATGCCACAGAACTCATGGAAGAGAAACTTTTGCTGACTGTTAGCTGATCCTATATATGATGAAAATCTATATTTATGTTCATTTGCCTTGCAAAATGATGACAGTGATGGTAGCTCTCGAGAAACCATAAAACAGGTATTCAAGTGAAGGCAAGCATTTGAACAGAGAAGGACACTTAGGCTGCACAGTCACCTGAACGAAAAGAAAATTAAGAATCAAAATGGCCACTTATATAACAATGAAAATGAAAATGGACCCCTACAATTTATACAGGAAGGCTGAGTTGGGTTTTTCCCTCTATTTTATGAGAACATATTCAGCATTTTGGTAATCACATGAAAAGCAATCACTTGTGTCTTTTTAAAGCAGAGTTTGAAGCTGATGGCAGATGCAGGAAAATGCCTATTGATCAGATCTTGCTCCATGTTTTCCAGCTGAAATGTGTCACACTCTAAACTGAGAAAATAACTCCAGGTCGCCCTCCTTGGAAGGCACACATGATGATGTCCGAAATCATCATAGAATGTTTTATCCTCCTTGGTCCTTTCTCATCATTCTGAGATACATGGTCAATAAATGACCCCCTTTTGGTAGATCACATGGCCCTTAAACCTTTGGAGTTGTTAGAAACACATGCTTTGGGGCAGGACATATCTGGATTTGAATCTCAGTGTGTCATTTACTAGTGTGGCTCTGGGTAAGTTATTTGTGGTTCCCTAGTTCCTTGAGTTGGACGTAAGACCTACCTCCTCACATTATTGTAAGATTGAAATAAGATGACATTTGAAACATACCTGGCTCATGGGAAGTACTCAAATAACTATTGGCTCATTTCCCCTCTGCTTATTTCTCATAATTCTTATCACACATTGCCTCATATTGAGTAGTTATCTGTGTTATGTCTTATCTTTACCCCTCATTAGTCAATAACCTCCTCAATGGTTGAGGTGGCAGCCCACTCATTTTTGTGTCCCCTGGACCTCCCCCACATAGTGCCTTAGAAAGAGTGGGCACTTGGAAACTATATATTGAATGTCATTTTTTCTAACTCAGCATATACTCAGCAATTTAGTGAAATAATACCGTAGTCAAAATGCCCAGGGATGTACCTTTTCTCAAGTGGGTCGGCTGCTTTTATTTTTAGAAGTCTTTCTGAGCATTCACTTAGACTAATGGCCTTTTACTTCAGGCAAGCAATCTTCCCAGGTTAGATTGGACTATCTATTTTCACAATTCAGATGAGACTTTGTTTTTGTCCTGAGTTTGTGACATGCACGTTTAGATGAGTCCAAAGAGTAAAGCAACCAAACTATTCCACCTTTTGTCAACTGAACATTCATTACCTACACTGGCAGATTTCTAGCATGACCGACTATATACATGACTCTACATATGACTATATATGTATGTATATGAAACATACAAACACAGTTTGTATAGTCTTTTATATATAAAATATATTTTAGAGAAACCTAAATGTGTCCAAAATTCTGTGATCCAAGAAAAACATTTTTAAGCTCTACAGAGATAAAATAAATGGCAATTATATAAATACTTTGAAGAGGCAAAATGAAATGAAAAAATCAGTCACATTTAACTATGCTTTGGCATTTTACCTTGGAAAATATGTAAGTAAATTATATTAGACTTGAATATTAATAAATTGAATACAACTTTTCTTTCCTTTACCTTTCTCTTTGGCTCCCTGTCCTTAGAAAACCTTCGTTTTCTCATCTCACAGAGCTGTTTTAGGGATTAAATGAGAAAAGTTTACACAGTCCCCAACACAGGGACTGCTACGCATTACAAACTCAAGGTGGAATAGTTTGGCTGCTTTACTCTTTGGACTCATCTAATGTGGCGGGCTGTATTGCTGTTTATGTTATGCATAAGCCTGAGCCTTCCTTTTAGTACAAAAAAAAAAAAGGAAGTGCTCAGGAATAATCTAGCCAGGAACTTCCCAATCCCTTCTTTCTGATCCCACAGACATTCTAAATATCTTTGCGCTGACACAGTGTAAGAATTCTGGTCCCAGCAAAAGCTAGCAAGATACAAACAAAGAAACCATCTTGGGGGAAAAAAGCAAGGAAGTGATTGCCAAGGTTGGTAGGGGCACTCTGGGAACTTCTAAGAGCTACAGACAAACAAAGATACCACCTTGGTCAGACGAGGTGGCTCATGCCTGTAATCCCAACACTTTGGGAAGCCTAGGTGGGCAAATCACTTTAGATCAGGAGTTCGAAGCCAGCCTGGCCTTGTCTCTACTGAAATCTTGTCTCTACTAAAAGTACAAAAATTAGCTGGGTGTGGTGATGCATGCCTGTAGTCCCAGCTACTTGGGAGGCTGGGGCAGGAGAATCACTTGACCCAAGGAGGCCGAGGTTGCAGTGAGCCAAGATCACATCATTGCACTCCAGCCCGGGCAACAGAGTGAGACTCTGTTTTAATTTAAAAAAAAAAAAAAAGCTCAGAAGTTTTCTAGAAGCCAGGAGCTGGCAGTATTCTAGATATGGGTTGTGGCTACATGGTTACACTTTATAATGTTAATGTTTTATGTACTTTGCTGTATGTGGGCCATATTTCACAATGAAAAGATTTAAAATGGGTGTGTGTGTGTGTGTGTGTGTGTGTGTGTGTGTGTGTGTTTCTTGGAAAAAAAATACCTTCTTGGATTTTTAGAGTGTTTTTTGCTTCTCAGAAGGCTTTAAAACAGGTGATACACTGTGAATAAAGTATGACTTCCTCTATTTGATACAAAGATGCTAAAAG